CATGCATAATAAAATATTTTGTGCAAATAACAGGAAATCAAATTAGTATTGAGGATTCAAAAATCAAGATTGAGTAATATTGCACCTTAAAATAAATATATATTTTGTGAGTGTTTTATTTTCAGTACTGTGTTAAATTACACTTCGTAGTCTACTTATGTAATGAACATTCATATGTTTGCATCATCAATTTCAAAACAAAACACAAATAACTTTAACAGGTTATAAAGAGAGTGGCAGTAACAGAAATAAAATCAAATAACAATGATATATAATAAAAACAAGTGAAGATCGTGGAAAGAGCTTTCCAAATGTAAATATGAAAAGCTTAATAATTCAGCAGTGAATCTAAATTACTTTTTAAAAATTCTGTGCCAAAAGTCCATGAACATCAATTCTAATGGCAATGTAAAGCCAAAAAAAAAAAAAAAAATCTTTTAGAACTATGTGTTTAGAAGGAAAGGCAGAAAGGCGGTTTTGAAGAGAAATAGCACAGATCAACTTCAAAAGCCAATATAGGCTCTCAGGCAGTGGCTCATTCCTGTAGTACTTTGGGAGACTGAGTCAGGAGGATTGCTTGAGGCCAGGTGTTCAAGACCAGCCTGTGCAATCTAGCAAGACCCCATTTCTACAAAAAATTTATAAACAGCTGGGCATAGTGGTCTCAGCTACTGCAGAGGCTTGTGCTCAGGAATTCAAGGCTGCAGTAAAGTATGATCATACTACTTCACATACAACCTGAGTGACAGATTGAGACAGACTCTAAAAAATAAATAAATAAATAAACAAATAAGTGCTTTGTTTAAAAAGCCAACATATATAGGAAAATTACTCAAAAACTATGTCCCATATTTATATATACCGCCATTGGGAGTGTAAATTTGCTTTTTTTTTTTTTTTTTTTTAAAATTTGAGATGGAATCTCACTCTGTCGCCCAGGCTGGAGTGCAGCGGCGCGATCTCGGCTCACTGCAAGCTCCGCCTCCCGGGTTCCCGCCATTCTCCTGCCTCAGCCTCCGGAGTAGCTGGGACTACAGGCGCCGCCACCTCACCCGGCTAATTTTTTGTATTTTTTAGTAGAGACGGGGTTTCACCGGGTTAGCCAGGTGATCTCTTGACCTCGTGATCCGCCCGTCTCGGCCTCCCAAAGTGCTGGGATTACAGGCTTGAGCCACCGCGCCAGGCCGAGACTGGATAATTTTTAAAGAAAAAAAAATAAACAGTTTATTTGGCTCATGGTTCTGCAGGCTGCATAAGAAGCATGTCACCAGCACCTGCTTCTGCTAAGGGTTCCAGTCTGTTTCTACTCATGGTGGAAGGCAAAGCGGAGCCAGCATTCAGAGATCAGCTGACAAAAGAGTAAGTGAGGGCCAGCGAGATGCCAGACTCTTTTTAACAATCATTTATTGCAGGAACTAAAAGTGACAACTCACTCTTTCCCATGAGAATGTCACAAGACATTTGTGAGGGATCCACACTCACAACCCAAATATCTCCCACCAGGCCCTACCGCCAACATTGAGGATAAAATTGCAACATGATTTTTGAGGGTCAAATAGCAAAGCTATAGCATTATAGTATTTCACTTACAGGATAGCAAGAGGAGTAAATGTCACATAAGGGCTTTACTTATTCTGGGAAAGGGACTAGTGCATTTTCAGTTGTATGTGGGACAATTTTATTATGTTTGCTGGAATTGTAGTTATGTTACTGCATTTATTTAAAGATTAAGTATGTTTTAGGGAAATGCATATGGGTGCCAACTTGACAACATGTGCGCTTATGATGGTTAAATTTATGTGTTTGTCATCTGTATTATGTCACTGAGTGCTTAGATACTTAATTAAATATTATTTGTGCGTGTATCTATGAGGTTGTCTCTAAAACATGTTAGTGTTTGAATTCATAGAGTGAGTAAAGCAACTCATTCTCCCAAATGTGGGTGGACATCATCCAATCCATCAAGGGTCAGAATAGAACAATGTTGCAGAAAATGACGAATCTCTAACTCTGCCTGCTTGAACTGGGACATCAGTCTTCTGTCCTTGCAATGGCGCTATTGGTTTTCAGGTTTTCAGACTTAACGCTAGTATTTATCGTATCAGTTTTCCTAGTTCCAAGGTCTTTAGACTTGGACTGGAACTGGAACTCAAGAACAGTTTCTTGAGTCTCTAGTTTACAGGGAGCAGTTCTTGGGACTTCTCAGCCTGCATAATCACACAAAATAATTCCCTGTTTGGATGGGTGGATGGATAGATAGATAGATAGATAGATAGATAGATAGATAGATAGATAATAGAGACATACAGATCTATCTCCTATTGGTTATGTTTCTCTGAAGAACCTTGATTAATATATCTTCACTTTTCTGATGGGTATAAAAGAAATTGTTGATTTTCAAATTGCTCAGCTTCTTTCTTGCTGTAAGTATGAGGTATAATGATTTCCAGGGTCTTTCCATATCCGAGATGAAAGCAAAGTCTTGCTCACCACATTCAGTACCAAATATATAGTTTCCTGGTCATTATAGGAAATTCATAAATACTTATTGAATGACTGAATAAATAAATTAATGTATTAGAGGAGATAGGATTAAGAAAATGCTAAAAGCTAGGTAGTGAGATATACAAAATATATTCAAGGAAATAAAAATATGTATAGTGATAAAATAACAAGGAGCTAGAAATAGGAGGATGGGAAAAATCTATTTCAAAATGATGAGTACGTCATGGAGACATTGTCAGAGCTACAACTTAAAGTACTTGGCAGGGTAAGTTAAGGGGTTAAGACTTCATTTTATGAGTTGTGGAGACTCTTCAAAGGCCTGGGGACTCAACACGATCTGAAATATTATTTGTTAAACATAGATTTAGTGGGTTTTATTTGGAGAAATGATGATCAGAAAATCATTTGGGAGATTATAAACAGAATAGAAGATGATGACGGTGTAAGTTAGGGTATCATGAGTATCAAGAGAAGTATAATAATTCATGTGATATTTAAGAAACAGAACTAATAAAACTAAGAGATGGAAGAAAACAGGGAAAGAAAGGTAACCTAAAATATTAATAATAACTTCTCAGCTCCTTAGACATTGGGTTAGAAGCTTAGAGATCATTGAAACTAGAAATATAAGAACAAGTTCAAGTTGAGTTTTGGGGTGGTAGCTATACATTCAGTTTTATACATCTTACTCTTTTAGTATTATTTTGGATGTAAATGTATAAAACTCAAAAAACATATTTGGGCATAAGATTGAGGTTTGAAGTCATCATCAGATATTAATTGAAGAAATGGAATAACGTAAGAAAGAGCCTTGTCAAATGTTACAGTTAAGACATTGAAAAAAAAAAATGAAATGATCCATGAAAATAGAGCTTATGAGCTCTTCTATTTAACAAAAGGAGAGTAAAGGGGAAAACCAGGTGAGGACATAAAGAATCAAAATAGGCCGGGCGCCGTGGCTCAAGCCTGTAATCCCAGCACTTTGGGAGGCCGAGACGGGCGGATCATGAGGTCAGGAGATCGAGACCATCCTGGCTAACCCGGTGAAACCCCGTCTCTACTAAAAAAAATACAAAAAACTAGCCGGGCGAGGTGGCGGGCGCCTGTAGTCCCAGCTGCTCGGGAGGCTGAGGCAGGAGAATGGCGTAAACCCGGGAGGCGGAGCTTGCAGTGAGCTGAGATCCGGCCACTGCACTCCAGCCTGGGCGACAGAGCGAGACTCCATCTCAAAAAAAAAAAAAAAAAAAGAATCAAAATAACACAGAAAATGAGAAAAGGAAATAGGTCAGGAAAAGAATTACCTGTAGAAAATACTGCTTACTAAGAGACCTGTTAAAGTTAATTTGGATTCAACAGCAAGGAAAGTACTTAACAGTTTTGCAAGGCTAATTTTAGTGTAAAAGCAAGTGTGCAGTGAATTGTCAATTATTTGTACGGTGATAAATGAAGCTAGTAACTATAAGAAACAATATACTAAGGAGGGAGACTCATAAAGCAGAAAAGTAGACTTGGGTATGCTTAATGTGGATAAGAATGTCAATTAGAGATTGAAATATAATTTAAGCTTTTAAATGACTTCTGATTAATACCTTCTTTAATGACTTCTGATTAGATATATATTGTAATCATACTTTAGCAGTAGTTGATTCATTTAGTCACTTTGTCATCCTTAAAATGCTATTTTCACTTGGGCTTAAGAAAGCATACATTGTTTTTTAATCTTCTTTTGCCTCTTAGTCCTTGCTGCTGATTTTCCCTAAGATTTCTGAATTTTTAATGTTAAGGTATATGAAGGACCAATTCTTCAATCTCCTTTTCCCTACTCATTCTCATTGCTGTGTTGATTTCATCCAATGTTGTGTCTTTAACTTCTATTTATATATAAATATTTCTTTAAACTTTTCATTTAGACATTCTCTCTAAAATCTAAAATCACATATAAAACTAACCACTTAGCTTCTCCACTTCTATGTTTTAATAGTCACCTTAATTATACTATAGCAAATACTTTGTGAGATTTTATGCCAAATCTCGTCTTATGGTCTCAGCAAATGACAACTACATCCATTCAGTTTTTCATGCAAGACCTTGAAGTTATGATTGTTCTTTTCTTTTTCTCCCCATATAATAATAGCAAATATATGAGAATCTTGTTGGCTCTTCGTCCTGAAAACTATGTGTTCAGAATCTGACCACTTCTCATAATCACTAACATTATCATCAACATCATACTACATCTGGATTAGTGAAGTAGACCAAAAAATATAAACAAAGATTTTCATGGAACCATTTTTGTAGTATTAATATCCATCACAATTGAAGAAATAGTTAACTTGTGGAATATTCATAAATTGAAGAGATCATGGCAATGCAAATTCCACCAGACACTATATGGAAGAAGGTCATAAAAATGGTGAGTAAAATAAAATAAAAAATGCAATATAATTTTACTTTAAAGTTCATAAAGTGTGAAATTTAAAATAAATATTGCGAGACCTGGCTGCTCTGCCCCGCGGCTTGTGCGCGCTTGTGGACCGCGCGGGCCTTCGGGAGATCGATGCAGGCCTGGGGCAGTCTCCTTTCTGGACTGAGAAGAGAAGAATGGAGAAGAGCCCCTTCCCATTAGTGCCTTTGCATTGGTTTGGCTTTGGCTACACAGCACTGGTTGTTTCTGGTGGGATCGTTGGCTATGTAAAAACAGGCAGGGTGCCGTCCCTGGCTGCAGGGCTGCTTTTCGGCAGCCTAGCTGGCCTGGGTTCTTATCAGATGTCTCAGGATCCAAGGAACGTTTGGGTTTTCCTAGCTGCTACATCTGTTACTTTTGTTGGTGTTATGGGATTGAGATCCTACTACTATGGAAAAATCATGCCTGTAGGTTTAATTGCAGGTGCCAGTTTGCTGATGGCCGCCAAAATTGGAGTTCCTATGTTGATGACATCTGATTAGCAGAAGTCATGTTCCAGCTTGGACTCCTGAAGGATTAAAAATCTGCATCTTCCACTATTTTCAATGTATTAAGAGAAATAAGTGCAGCATTTTTGCATTTGACATTTTACCTAAAAAAAAAAAGACACCAAACTTGGCGGAGGGGTGGAAAATCAGTTCTTACCATTATAACCCTACAGAGGTTATAATGAGGATGTAACACGAGCTTATTGAGACCCTCATAGAGATCGATTCTTGTATATTGATGTTGTCTCTTCTTTCTGTATCTATAGGTAAATCTCAAGGGTAAAATGTTAGGTGTTGACATTGAGAGCCCTGAAACCCCATTCCCTGCTCAGAGGAACAGTGTGAAAAAATAGAGTATTTGTTCTTTTGCTCATCTTAGACCACAGACTGACTTTGAAATTATGTTAAGTGAAATATCATTGAAAATAAAGTTTACTATAAATAAAAAAAAAATCAAAAAATCAAAAAATCAAATATTGCTCAGGAGCGCATAACTATGTAGTGAAAATATCCAGTTAGGACTTCTACTTCCAGTCATAGCATAGTGACTGCTACTGGCCTCAACTTTCTACCACAAAGAACTATATATAAAATTGGACATACGAGGAGAATGCTTTAAGGAAATTCTGAGAGACAGAAAACTCATGAAAGAAGAGGAAGCGCTATATCACTTCCATTTTTTTTTCCTGGGAACAATTTTATGACTGCAGTGTGGACAGCTGGAGCCAAAGAAGACATATATATTTTTTAAGGATCTGAGAATAAAGGTACTGAAGTGGCTTGAATCATAGGGTCAAGTCAGCACAGAAGAGATAGTTAAACATTGTGGGGATCCAGAAGTCTATGTCCAATTTCCCTATGTGTCTTTGTACCCAGACTTGACTGTATATATGTAGAGTTTATCAGAGATTATCTGTCATGGTGATAAAAGGAAAACAGTAATGCTAGGAGTATATCAGTGCTCAGAAACATTGTTTCAGCTCAGCCAGGCTGGAGATATGTCATTAATACCAAACTCACAAAGCTGATTGGCAAGAAAAGCTATATCTTGAGAATAAGGAGCAAACCCTAGAGGAAGGTCTGGTCAATAGTGATAGAAACTAAGTAATGTAGTTTGGATAAGTGTCCCCACCCAAATCTCATGTTTAATTGTAATCCCCAATGTTGGAGGTGGGGCCTTGATGAAAGGTGATTGGATCATGTGAGTGGATTTCTCGTGAATGGTTGAACAATATCCCATTGCTGCTGTTCTCATGATAGTTAGTTCTCATTACCTCTGGCTGTTTAAAAGTGAGTGGCACCTCCCCCGAAACTTGTTCCTTCTTTCGCCATGTTATACGCCTGTTCCCCCTTTTCCATCGACCATGATTGAAAGCTTCCTGAAGCCTCTTCAAATGCAGACACTTCTATGCTTCTAATACAGATGCAGAACCATGAGTCAATTAAACTCCTTTTCTTTAAAATCACCCAGTCTCAGCTATTTCTTCATAGCAATACAAGAATGACCTAATAAACTAGGTAAATAAAAGCCAAATCTATAAAGATTTTGGAAGTTTAATAATACAAAGTTAAAAGAATTCTGAGCTTTCCACAAATCAAACATAATAAACCATCAAATGAAAGGTAATCAAAATCTATATTCACAGCCAGTAATCGGACTACCCACCAAAAACAAAAAATAAAACTCTTTGGAGGAAATGAGGGAATCTAGAGCTCATATATTATCCAAAACATTTTAAATACAATTCAAAAATCACTAGCCATTAAAAAATAGGAAAGTACAACCAAAAATAAAAATGGTAGTCAATATCATCCAATTGCAAGATGGCACAGATGTTAAATTTTGTATAAAAAGATGTTTAAAAATGAATATAAATATTTTCAAGGACTTCCAGGAAAATATGGTCCTTATGAGTGAAGAGATAAATAAACTAACTCGAGAAACTAAAAATCAAAACTAAAATGTAACCAAATAGAAATTTTACAACTAAAACTAGAATAACATAAGTAAAAATTTCCCTAAAAGTGTTTTAACAACAGATAAAAGATAGTAGAATATGGTATAAGTGAATTTGAAGATAAAACAATAGAAATAATTCAACCTGAAGGACAGAAAGTAGATGTATTGTATTAATCAGGGTTCTCTAAAGGGACACAAGTAATAGGATATACAGATATAAAGATGTATATAGATATAGATATAGATATATGGGATATCTATATTTATCTATATATAGATATATAGATATAGTTGGGGTTCTCTAAAGGGATACAACTAATAGGATATCAATATATCTATATCTATATATCTATAGATATCTTTTTAGATATATTATATATATTATATAAATAAAGTATAATATAGATAAAATAGTATTAACTCACGATCACAAGATTTCACAATAGGCTCTCTGCAAGTTGAGGAATATGGTAGCAAGTACGAGTCCCAAAGCTGAAGAACTTGGAGTCTGATGTTTGAGGGCAGGAAGCATCCAGCACAGGAGGAAGATGTAGTCCTGGAGGCTAAGCCAGTTTAACCTTTTCACGTTTTTCTGCCTGCTGTATATTCCAGCTACTCTGGCAGCTGATTAGATGGTGCCCACCCAGATTAAGGGTAAATCTGCTTTTCCCAGACCACTGACTCAAACATTAATCTCCTTTGGCAACACCTTCGCAGACATGCCCAGGATCAATACTTTGCATCCTTCAACCCAATCAAGTTGACAGTATTAACCATCACATGTATTGACAAAAAGGTAACAGATACTCAAGGTCATGTGGAATGATACAATAGTTTAAAAATTACATATAACTGGATTTTCAAAATGAAAAGGGAGAATGAGACAAAAAATATTTTAATAAATGGTTGATTTCCAGTTTTGATTTTTGATTCCCAATTTTGATTATCACCATAGTTTTTTAGAAGGTAGGAAAGTTAATACTGACTTCAACATAAGAAGTGTAATTCTGAGGGCTCAACTTGGGATTCTAACCATTATACACTATGAGGGTAAGACTCTTCTGTTCATTCTACACTATATGTCATGAATTATGAATACTGGTTAGAACAGACACTGTCAGCATGAAGTGCATGCTGGGTACTGTCTCTAATCCTTTTGGGTTGTTGTTTCTCTGGCCTTGGATTGTTTGCTCATACATATACACTTATAATTACTCTGCTGAATAGTCCAGGAGGACCTTCCAGGTAAGTCCAGAATGCCCACATTGTGCAGCTCCCTCCTACCTGTACTCTATCCTATGAACTCTCATTGCTTGGTCTTTCTAAATTTCTTCCATCTCTTTAAGTCTGCAGTCTTCCAGTCTTCACTTTTGTTCCCTCTCTCTGCACTGCACCCTGGAAACTCTATCAAGGCTGTAAAATAATGCAATTATAGAACTTCCATCATTTTGGGGTTTTCCTCCCATCTTAAGGGATCAATATCACATGTTTTTTTGATGTTCAGGATCTTGAAAATCATTACTTCAAATATTTTACCCAGTTCTTTTGGTCGTGTTAGGCAGACTGAGAAATTCAGTCTTTGTTACTCTATATTGACCAAGAGCAGGAATCTAGGAAACTTTTGTAATTTAAAAATGAATATTATTGGATACAGATAAACCATTAGAAAATAAAAGCCTGTTAACCCATAGATAAATATGGAATATTAAAAATAAGTATTTATTTAATCCTAAGTAGTAATAAAATAGAAGAGGCACAAGTAAAAAAAAAATTCACAGAAAATAAATCCAAAACTGTCAATAATTACATTGAATGTTAATTGACTATATGATCCAATTAAATGTCACAAATTATTAAATTAGATTAAAAAAGAAGGTCCAGTTATATGTCATGTTTATATTTAAAGATCTGCTTTGAATAGAAATTTGTGAGCATGCTAAAATTGTAGACAAATTTTTTTTAACTAAACAGAAGTACTTTTTTAGAAAGTTAAAACAATATTAAACAATTTGATCAAGATGACATTCACAAATATTACATTTAATAATTAAAGAAAACACTAATTAAAGTACACAGAAAACTTTCATAAAGATAATCTGTGAGCTGGGCTATGAAATGATACTCAATGAATGTCAAAATACTGAAATTTGACAGAGTATGTTTAGAAAATGGAAAAGTTCCTTGAAAAAAGATAAAGAGAAGCATTTCATGATTAAAAAAACATTAACCCAAAGAAATCTGCAGGGCTATACTGCTTAATTGATGGATTTTATTAAACTTTAAGATATTAAAATACTACTAGTCATGCATAAACTCAGAAAACCTAAAAGGCTCATATAGCTATATTAGGAACTCAATATTTATTTTTATTAAATAAATATATTTAATAACATAAATAATTATATATACTTATGTAATGAAACTTAGCAATGTGTACTTCTCTCTGTCTCTCTCTCTGACTCTCTTTGTCTCTCTCTCACATAAACAAAGACACACATGCTCACACAAACTGAATAAATTTTGACTTTGACCAACAATTGGTCACTAGTTCTACAGAGCTATTCCAATGCTTCTGAGTTTGTAGAGTCATCAAATAGGCCATTGTGTTGTAAAAAAACACTAGTTGTTCTTTATAATCTGTAATGATTATTTTGCGTGCTTGCAGAGTTTCACTTTTACTCCACAACACTGAATACTCAAGCAGAAAAGAAGAATACGTTAGATTATACACATGCCATGATAAAAGATATATTCTATATTCACTATGGATTTGAGATTACAATTAGTTCTCAATAGGCATTAAATAATAATGTGATGCAATACAACCCCAATTATACACACAGCAGGATAATGACGACTACTCTCTGGGGAGAATAATCCATTCACTGATATTGTGCGTTATTTGCTGATTCAGAAAAAGAATGTTGCTTTTGAAACACCTTCTGAAGAATTTGCCTTTTCTTTCATTACTAAATGCAACTGTATTTCACAAACTAAAGAATTAGTTGATAAAATAACACACAAGTAAATTAATTGGTATCTCAGAATCACATTAGACAATGTAGATGTAGATACAAATTAAGGTTGATATATGAGTATTCATGTTCATGTATTCATTCGTTATTTGAATTTTATTAAGCAAATATTTAATATCTACTAAATTCTCTGCACTGAACTAGGATAAAGTATGCAACATAAGGTATGGTTTATGATCTATGAATATTAAGTATAAAACATCACCTGTTTCAATAAGAAGATTTTCCATTTAAACTTGTGTGTGCATTGGCAAAATGTAATTTATGATAATATACACAGTGAAACTCACAGGATGTAAGTTCTTGTTTGGTTTCATTAATTATTGTGTATTTTTCTATACAAAGAATCAGATGTTAATACATTCCTTACAAAATCTACCTTTGTGACCAAGGCATTTTGCTGCCTTTTCTAAAGTGAGACCTTCCTTTTTTAACTTTCAAAAATAGAAT